GGCTCAGAGTGCTCAGGCTGTTTTGAAGAGTAAAGGTGTTCAAAGTACTGATTTTCAAGCTTGTTAAAATTGCACAAAGTCTGTTTTTACCTTAAGAACAGCATCTCTGCACCTAATTCCCCAATCTTTTATATGACGATAAGGACATTGTGTAGTCTGTTGCTTGCACTGAAATTTGTTGCTCTGTCCCTGCTGTAAATGTGTGCCCTGGATCTGTGTGACGTGGATTTCTTTTCACTGCCACGCTTTCCTCACCACTTTCCAGAAGAACTACAGGAGAATCCCTCTTACCAGTCTGCAGCAGTGTCGGCACTACACCGCAGGAGAGGGCAGGTAACACACCAACACACACAGTACACTAATGAATTGTTTAGGACTAGCACATGAGCTTCAGCTGTCTTCTTAAGGGCCTCTCACATAGATGCGACATGTGCTGTGCCTCCCACCAAAATCCTGAGATCACTATGTGCAAGTCGGCTGAACTAGGACACAGAGTGCAGCGTCCCTTCTCAAAGGCCGTTAGCGAGACTGTCCATTCATTCATGTCTGCTTGTCCTTTTTCATTTCAGTAGTGCTTCCAAAGTGGTTGTTGCTGGCTTGTTGACAGTAAGTGGTGGCATTGGAGGGACCGTACTCTATGCCAAATGGGACCAGAAGTTCAGAGCAGCGGTTGAGAAGAACGTCCCGTACTCAGACTGGCTGCTGGGTTTGGCTTTGGGACCCGCTGCCCAAGATCCTGGCCTCCCCATAAAGAAACGGGTACGATGCTCATCCCAGTCACAGTTACAGGACACAAAGTTTGTTTGTATTTCACCGTCAGTTCAGAAGAATTGAAGTCGAACATTTTTTTCTTTTACTGGCTCTCCATTTGTGAGCATCTGGTCTCTGATGGTTTAAGGAGGATTTACTGTACGTTACAATGGCCCATACCTCCACCCCCATACCTCCACCCCCATACCTCCACCTTTCCAGTGTGTGTCTGTTAAAATTCGACTCAGAATATCAGCTAATAAACTTCAATACATTACAATATAAATATTTGTATAGAAAGAACAAACATATTTTTATAACCACACTGTAATAACGTATGCGTCGATTTAAACGGTTGCTGTTAAGGTGGAGTTGGCGCAGCCGCCCTCTATGATAGAAAAACAAGTGAAGAAGTCGGCGAAGAAGGAGGGCGCCGAGGGTCCAGTCAAAGACTCCAGCCCCGCCCCCAGTCAGCCTGCACAGAGCCTAGAGGGTAAGTGTGGCACCCACTGTCATCATAACTCATGGCTTCATGTTGCCATCTTTTATCACGTGCTCTGATACAGCGTGGTTTTATCAGCTTTATTTCTGTTTCCGTTTAGTTCTTTCACAGTAGTCGGGTGGAGCGCCCACAGTTTCATTGCATCGGTGCAGTGACAGGAAGGGGCTGTTGTATTTGTACACAAACACCACCACAGTGGGTTTGAACTCAGCCACGATGTGATTACAGCGCAGCTTCATTTCAAGGATTCTAACACTAGTATTGGATTATTGACTTATTCATTATAGACACTTGTATATCTAATAAACCACTTTCAGAGACACATTTTGTAAGGACTCTAGGGCTGCACGATTTT